TCGATTTCATCCAAAAATCCACCCAAAACGAAATATTTGGGTTGGACGACGAGTTAATCCATAATGCCGTTTTCTAGCAGGCGTACATTTTGGGCACCAAACTGTTTCACCACATCCAAACTAAAAGTCCAGACAGATATTGACTCTTCGTTTTACCAACCAATGGACAATTTAAAAAGGACAAGTCAAAACTACTTAGATAATTTGCATAAAATTTGATTGACACATTCCTATAGGAAAGTTTATCCAATAGAACAGTAATTCGCACTCGTGACTTTGGTAGCCAACAATTTTTCTACTGACAAAACTGTTGGCTATAAACCTTATCAGATGGACTCGGAAACAAGTCAGTCTAATTTACTTCGTACTTACCCACTTAAGTTCTTCTCGTCAATCAGAGTCTCTAGGTCTCAAAGAGAAGATGCACAGCAATTTGGCTATAAAGATAAAACTGGATAAAGGTTCGCTCTATTGTAGCTACCATAAATGCGCCAATGGTTATATTTTCAGTCGTTCATGTCATAGTGTGAAGTAGCTTTTGTCAGCTGTTCCGCTCGGAAGAAAATTTGTGGACAAATAAAACTAGGCAAATTTTTGAACTAGACACGTCCGCTTTCCATGCACTTTCCTCAGTGGGTAATGATTTGACGCTAACTACCTCTCCTCTGCCATACTACTGTTTTGGTTTAAAAACGACACACAATTCATACGCCCAGTGCAAACGTCACTTCAGTGGCGTTTGCCGACGGTCTCCGGATAACAGGACCGAAATGGGCATTTCAGCTTTGCCATGGATTTCCGAGTTTAGAGCTTTTGCAGGCGGTAGGATAGTAAATAGGTCAAAGTAGCCGTTCCAGTCTCCCTTGTCTTTGTTGATAACACTTTTCGACCCAGTAACAAGTCAAAAGCAAAAGTCCAAAAGCGTGAATCCCATGGTATTTTAGGAGTGGAGCATGAAGCTTGCTTCGGTAATCATAGTCGCACCACTCATCTTGGGGGTCATTTTATTCGTCGTAAGTAGAATGCCGAATTGATTTCATTCATGTCACGTTGCAAAAAGCTGAATAAAAGTTCGATTTCAAACTGAATGGTTAACTTATTGGTGATATGATGCAGCTCCTTCGCCACCTGTAGTATTTCTGTTACCCAGTGGTCCGTCGTCTTTATGGAGTGGCTCTCCTTTATGGTCTTTAAGAGTTCAGCAATGAACGGAACAATGTAATCCAAAGAGTCGGGACGGTTCTTGAAGGCCACATAGATAAGAGATTTAATGTCCACTCCAAGTCTGATGCCTTTTGCCAACGTGAGACGACCAAGAAATGCTCCGAAATGTTTTAAAGCCTTTCCGTTGCATGGCTGTAGTCGTCCACTTTGCAGCAGTGTGTCGATCTCCCTCGTTAGTAAATGAAGAATATGGGAACGAAAATTATTCTGACGATCTGATGCAAGTAATACGAATTCGGCATACAGATTGACAAGATTAGGCTCCGAAGCGACCCGGCTGATGATAAACTCCGCAAACCAATTCATAAAATGGTATGGTAGCAGTGACATCACTTCGTCTGCCTGGCGTTGAAGGTTGTGTTCGGTGATATTATTTAGAATGAAGCATATTCTTTTCGTGATGCGCTCAGGCGGATGTGCACTGTGGGTAGGGATTCTGGACGTCATTTTGGACTCGCTGGCAGGGAAACTGCGAGTGCAATGCGAAGTGGGAAGCTGTTAGCTTTCGAGTAGTTCAACTGACCGCTTGGTGTTTTTAAATGATGTGGTCAAATCGATCGTTTTCTGCAGCGCGTAAGCGCTGAGTAAGCGTACCTTCGATCGATAGCATGGGATTAACAAGCCTGTCTACGAAGCGCTGGCATTAAGCGGTCTAATATGCCATATCGCCGTTATCCGGCAAGGCGCAAGGGTATACTGAAAGGCCTGGAACCGAGTTCGCGAGATTGATCTACTAGTCTTCCTAGTTCTTGGCAGCAAAAGGCTAACAAATGAAACTCCTGCATCCTCATTACCTGTAACCCGGACTCAGTCATTCTTTTATAAGTTTTATGTGCCAGCAACAGGGTTTTATTTCACTAATGACTGCCTAACAATCGACAATGTGGCACAATGACTAGTATTTCACACTTCGTTAAATTGGTTTTCTACCCATTTGTTGAGGTTTTCCGGTCTGGTGCTTGGTCAATTTCAACCCCGATAAAAGTTCACTTATAAGGGACTCTGGTCGCTCATGCGAGTTCTTCAATTCACGATCAATTACAAAAGGTCTATGTAGTGGTTTTTTCTGGGGCTTTTAATTAGAGATTTCGAGTTGTTAGACGTTTCAGTGAACGCAATAAATGTAAACGGTGGCTCTAAGTCTCGAATCAAAAAGGTTTTGCCTGTCACTTTCGGGAATATGCGCATCTTTACTCAGGAACGGCGTGCGAATGAATCTGGAAAGTGTCAGTCACCCTCGATAGCAACGCAAACGAAGCATATCCGTCCGATTTCTTTCAGTGAATTACTAAATAAGCTGATATTTTGGCCAAACCCTTATCTACTGATTTGAATGTGTGACATTGTGATATCATCTGAGACGGGGCGCATCCTGAGTTGACTTCAGTGCGATCTATGATGTTTTAATTCATGCTACTGCAATAGTTGTCTAGAGCCATCATTGCGATGTGTGTCGTCTTCGTTCAAGGCTCCGCCGCATCAATTTTCATATTTTCAGGTAATAGACATCAACAGAAGACAAACACCAACTCTCCTCATTCGAAGAGAGTAGATTTTAGTGAAATAATTCGATTGGTATTCGTCATGATCACCTGAGTAAGGGTCACTCGTGTCACCACTCCCACTCGGTCTGAAAACGACTATGCAGAAGAGAGCAAAAAATAAACGGATAGATAGCGTGTTAAACTATGGCCACCGCCCCCAAGAAAGCCAATGAATTTTTCAAGTAAAGTGGTAGGTCTCCGTGTAACAGATCGGACGGTGGCCTAACGATTTACTGCTTCGAACGTGAATTTTTCCTCCTCTGATTTAATTGACCATCTGAAGTTATTAGATTGAACAGTTTTCTCTGTGGTCAATTAAATGCTCACCCTTAACGTGGCTCTCCTAGTTGATGTAAGAAAATGATTCCACTTTACTCGACGCTACTTATCCACCAGTGTCCCAAGAACGCTTTGATGACTCCTGATTGAGCTACCGCCCACGCTAATCTTATACCCACCACGCCCCAAAGTGATACATATTCAGACGACTGCATGTGGATGTATGAGTGGTGTCCAACAACAATAATAAAATGTCTACGATTGGCACACACGACCTGACCACCTAACTCCACACGTACCAGGCCTTCATTGAAGGCCACATTTCCTACAGATTAGGCCTAGCCTAAGTACCTAGTTGAGCAGGAACCTGTTTAACATGACTTTTGGTCTCAAACAGAGTGAGAATATCATCATCATCATCATCATCATCATCATCATCATCATCATCATCATCATCATCATCATCATCATCATCATCATCATCATCATCATCATCATCATCAGTGCGCGCTTGGCTGTTTATTGTGAGAAAAAAGGAGCTTGATCCGAACTGGATCGACCTTATCGAGAGGCAGTAGTCGAAGACGCGAGTTCCCAAAATACAGTCGGGGAAACTGAGTTACTAAGAAAATCTACTGCTGCAAGGGAGCATGCAAGCGGTTCAGGAGACAGTTGCCGACTACTGACATTGACCGCGGCGCCAGGTTCATACGTGCGCCTGACGTCCGTCCAGCAACAGTGTATTATGCAAATTTTGCTGGTCGTGCCACAATTTTGAGCCATGTTTTTGTTTACATCAGTTTACTGATGTTTCTACCTACGAACAGGTACGAAGTAAGGCAGCCAGAGCAATTTACTCTACAAAGTCCTGAAAAGAATGTGGTCAATGAAACACGAGTAAAACCTATTCGAAAGGGCCGTCAGTTGGCGGTTGGTGCATTCTGCACTATTGATTGCCATAGTGATGTAGCACACCATTTAGGTATCTAAATAATTATTGTTGTTTATTGTGCACCCGTTTAGGCGCTGTAAATTTAGTCTGCGATACTTTCTACAGTGAAGACAACGGCTTTCAAAGCATGAGTTTGATTTTTACTAGGCAACCTACAAAAAATAACGACAAAATATCAAATGAACAGTGTCCCAAAAAGTGATTTGTTAGTTAAATAATTATTTAGACGAAGTGATTTGCGAACCACCCTTTCTTTGCAGCATAAAGCGAAATGTCCCAGCACAAATATTCACACTAAGCACTTAACTTTGAGCCTAGGTAACTGTCAACGAACGAGACATCTCACAGCAGCCTTCAGTAATTCCTTGGCGTCATGCTCCTCAGGAAAACTATATCTCTTTGCAAGCTAAACTCATTAAGGCCGTGGGCACCAGTGATCGCTGTCTAGAAATCTACTACACTAACTGTCAGAGTCTCCTCAACAAGCTAGATAAACTCAGTTTACTAGTCTCTAAACAGAAGCCGCACATAATTGTCCTAACAGAGACATGGTGGACTAAGGAAATAAGTAGTAGCTAAGTCAGTATTGAAGGCTACCAACTGTTCCGTTGTGACAGATTCCAACGTAGAGGAGGAGGCACAGCGATTTATGTGTCAAATGAAATTCCGTGCTGTCAGAGAGAAATATCCAAAGGGGAGCCGCGAAATTTTGAAATAATTCCATGCAAGATATGTATCAAAAACTTACCGACACTTAAACTGCATGTTGTTTATCGGCCTCCCAGCTCGAATGAAATCGTCGATATGGAATTACTTAGTGCATTGGAGTTGCTATGTAAACAGGAGAACTTACTACTTCTGGGTGACTTTAATGCTCCAGGATTAGACTGGAAAATTCTCTCAACGAACGCCCCGTCCACGTCATTTGACCAGAAGCTACTACAACTCTCCCTAAATTAATATCTCATTCAACACATAAAATTCGGATCAAGACTGAGAGAAGGACAACGATCTAACAGTTTAGATCTCATTTTCCGTAAGGAAGGAGTCATAAGATAAGTGAATCCACAACCTCTACTCGGTTTAAGCGATTATACTGCTTTTACCTTCGTGTGCTCTCCTATCGAACCAACAACCAAGAATCAAAAGACGCGGAAATATTTGGAATGGTGACTTTGACGCAATGAGACGTACTCTTATGAATGAAACCTGGTTAGTCAACATGGAAGATTCAGAAGAATGCTGGCAGTACTTTCGCGGGATTATAGAGCGTCTAACTGACACCCATGGTCCCATAAAAATAACACGACCATGTGCGCGACCGCCGTGACAAAAAACACAATGAAGAAAAAACAGAGGCTGTGGAAAAAGTATTTGCAACTTCGAGATCCAATGTCATTCGCCGAATATAAGGCTCAACGCAACAAATGCCGCAAACAAATACGGGTTGCTAGAATTTCTTTCGAGCGCCGACTGATAGCAGAATTCATTACGTGTCCCAAGAAGTTTAACGGCTACATCCGCAGTAAGAGAAAACATAGGGACGGAATTGCGTGTCTAAAGGATAACCTCGGAAACTGTTTAGTTGAATGGTCACAGAAGGTGCGATTGCTGTGTCAGTTTTTCGATCGGTTTTTACGGAGGAGTCCTTAGAAGACAATCGGCAGTTTGAAACGAACCGAGACAGACGGCAGCTTCAAATGCGCCAAGATACTGCCGTAATTGAAACTGTTGCCTTTTCCGTCAAAGAGGTAAGACGCGTCCTCAGTCAAATAAAACTAGATAAATCTCCTGGACCCCACTGAATTCCTGGGCTGATACTTAGGGAGCTAAGAACGGAGCTGTCAAAGCCTCTTTCGACTCTCTTTAAGCTGTCAATGAAAACAGGAAGGCTGCAATCACAGTGGAAGACAGCTAACCTCGTTCCATTGCATAAGAGAGGAAGCAGAATGGCAGCAAGCAGTTTCAGGCCTATTAGCTTAACTTGTCTCTCGTGCAAAACGATGGAAGCTCTAATAAAAAGTGCCATACAGCAATTTTGTGAAGAAAATAACATCTTGCAGGATTTTCAAAATGGCTTCCGGAGAGGACTTTCCTGCCTCTCAAATCTGCTAGCTTCTCTGGAGATCTGGACCAGGGCTCTAGAAGGGGGTTTTGAGGTCGAGGTCGTGTACATCGATTTCAGCAAAGCTTTCGATATTGTTCCGCACCAACGCCTTCTTCACAAATTGATCGTCGTCGGCATTCGTGGAGGTCTTTTGAACTGGATAAAGACGTTTCTGGTTGGTCGGAAACAACGTGTCTGTATCGGAGATGATATGTCAGAATGGGTGAACGGGACCAGTGCTGTGTCTCAAGGCTTCGTTCTGGGACCATTGCCTTCAGGAACTCGACTGCGGAAAAATAATGTTTTCTGACGACGTTAAGCTCTAGCAAGTCATTAAGGGTCCGAATGATCAGAGACCCCTTCAAGATAATCTGCGCTGACTGCAAGCGTGGTCGGAGAAATGGCTTCTGCATTTCAATGTGCAGAAGTGTGCCGTCCTTCATCGGCGTCCAGCCAACTGTCATTTAAATGAGAGCCTGAGGACATATCACCTGAATGCCATAAGACTCCCAGCAGACTCTCTACAGAAGGATCTTGGGGTTTGGATACGCACCAACCTGAAACCAACACTGTAGTGCCACAAGGCTGCAAAAACGCGTGGGAGTGCTCCATGCAATCAAAAGAGCGTTCGAAACCTCTCACCAAGACCTTTTTAGGAAAGCTTACGACACGTTTGTTGGGCCCCACTTAGAATATGGCCTACAAGCATGGCGGCTATGGCTAGTAAAGGACCAAACATGCCTCGAAAGAGTATAGCGTCCTGCAACAAAGCTGGTAAACGGTCTAAAAAGCCAAACCTACGCAGACAAACTGAATTGCCTTAATTTATTTCCTTTGTCTTACAGGCAGCAAAGAGGTGATCTTGTCCTCGTCTACAAGAAAATACATGGCCTTGAGCATGGACTTAGCTTTGAGTACATGTATCAGTGACACCTTTCACTCAATCTTCGTGGTCACTCGATGAAGTTACGAACAGCAAAGTCCAGGCTGAATCTTCGTTCTGAATTTTTTACGCAGAGGGCAGTTTAGAAATGTAATGATCTCCCTTAGTCAGTTGTAGAGGAGACGCACCTGCAACTCTTCATGAAACGGTTGGATGATTATTTGTGTCCCATGTTTTCCCTCGGCAGTCTCAATCTGAACTAAATACCCCGCGATCCCGCAAATGTTTTTATCTGAGACAATGCTACCCAAACGAATCAAGCACTGTTCGAATAGCGAATATATTCACTGTTCGTGTACAGTTATTTCTAAGGAGCTGACATGTAATCAATAGGGTTTTCAAAGGCTTTGCCTATTATCCTTACCAAATAACCTGAAAATTCTGTTTCATTCCGAGTGTAGAATGCATTTAGTTAGCAATTCGCTACGGAAACAGTCCGGGCATATACTAAAAAGGAAACTCAGTGACCGGCTTACGACATTCACAACAACCACAAGCATCCAAATGAACTTGTTTTCCAGCCCATAGATCCAAAGACCAAGACGTTTCTTCATAACAACTAGGTGCACTAACTGAATCGAAAGAACACATGTTTATCCTAATATTCCGTTTAAAGAACTAAAGGTTTATCTGCTGGCAAACCTGTGAGAGGGCTTAAGGAATCCCATTCACCCATCATAAACCCAACCGAACGCCGTTCACTACCAGGTTTAAATCCCATCCTTAAATTGGCAGTGCTCGTAATCATAGTACTCATTAGCATTATTGATTCACTCCACTTCAGTACAGTTTATTGAGGAAAACAGGCGTGAGCCTTTGAGTGCCCGATGTGTAGCGCAAAATTGGGTTTAATGTGCTGAGAAATAATGTAATCTGGAACACTTGTAAGGGAGCATGAAAGAATGAAAATTCCTTCCCGAGTCTCAAGGATTCGGTTTAACCTCCCGTTGTACCGACACATTTTGGAACACAAATCTGTCCAGGTTCCTTCTAAAGCTCTATCAACAGTGACACTATAACATATATAGGAAGATAATTCGATGGGTTGACCTGTCTGACAGATAAGATCTTGCTCACATCCAACCTTGTCCATTGAATGCGCTCTTTTTATGTAAGACCTTGGAGGCCAGTCATAGCAGTCGAATCCAGACCTTTCACAGTGCGGAGTGCCTGAAAGGGATCCTCGCGCATCTGCCTTTATTTCAAAGGGCAGAGATTTAATTTGATTGTCGGGTAACATGAACATACATATGAGGAAGGCCAGGCGGAAAAGGGGCGTCTGGTCGGTCTGGTCGACATTCTGTTGTGCTGCAAATTCGTTGAAACAGCAACCAGAAATTTCCAAAACAATTGCAACTAGACGACTAATTGTAGCCACAGTGATTTCCTGTCAAAGAAATCTAGCATAAAGCAGCCGCGAAATTCCCCTGGGTCCTGGTCGTAATTCCATTATACTAATCATAATTGTAGGCGTTTCGATGATGCCTTAATTATTAAATATCCCACCTCGCTCTATATGCGAAGCATTGCCAGTTAACTGACCACTAAGTTGACTAATATTTACACTTTGCACAGTCTGTTTCGATTTCACTAAGGCTTTTGATCGCTTGGCCATGCTCTTCTTCTCTTAAAACTTTCCTTTTTTGGAATTGGTGACAAACTTCTGAATTTGATATCGTCTTGCCTGGGTGGTTGCACACAACGAGTTGAGATTTCCAATGATATCTCCAACCCCACGTGCGTGAGGAGTGGAGTCATTCAGGGTAGTGTGCTTGGTCCGCTATTATTTTGTTTTTTTACCAGTGATGAAGCACATTTGTTTTAGGATGGTAAGACCTTCATGTACGCCGATAATCTGAAAAAATTGTATCGATATAAGCCGGCAGATCGTGACATCGTGCTCGAACTCATAAAAAACGACCGACAGAGCTTTGCCCAGTGGTGCTGCACATGACGTC